CACTGAGCAAACATACTGGGCTAATAAGCTGAACTCCGAGTGATAGTCACTAAAAGGAAATAGAACCTTGAGGACGATAACAACAGTGTCAGCCATTTACAAGGGGAATGTTAGAGCCATCTTTAGGTTAAAAGTTTTTATCATTCACATATGTTTAAGTTGTGTTTATTTCCAAGAAGCAAAGGAAGCCATTCGTTCGGTTGGTTGTCCTTGAATAGAAAGTTAAAAGCTTCTGTTTGATTAGGACATTATTTTCTAAGGAGTACAACATCCTCAAACTGATTTCATATTTCTGATTAGAATCAAATTCATGAAGTTGTTAAACCTTAATTAAACTCGGAAAATAACCTCTTTTGTACTTAGTAAAAGTTTCATAACTCCTTGTCAGTAATTTATGAGGCAATCTTTGAAAAAGTAAGGTTCCTCTGGCTCCTCCTAGTGTTTCTAATGGGACCTCCAACACTCCTCAATTCTTTAGTGAAACTATCCAGCTCAGACCAGAGGAGTGGTTAACCAGTCAATCCCATTAATAGGACACAAGAGCAAAACTGTTACTGTTAAAACTGAACTTTTGGAAGACGCCTAACAACTTAAGTCTGAAACGGTAGGAAAAAAAATCAATTCTCCGCTCATCCGGCATGGATGAGCTCATCCAGATATTGTGGGAGGTGGGTTTAATGATTCCTGTTTAAACGTGGACTCAAACCAGCTCCAGCAGACTGTGCTTGCTCCATTGTTCCATTGTTGATCATGACTCAATGACTCGGTACCAGTCCGTCGCCTACATATGAGGAAACAGGTGAAATGAAATGGCCAGTGTATGGCTACTGACTGCATCAGAGTGGCCCCAAACCCCCCTTCTTCAAGGACAGGCTGCATTAATAAATCACAGCAGAAAAAAGCCCTGCAGCTTGCTGTTCTTCAGATGTTCACGTTAACGTTGTTAATGTAATTTTGTTATATACTTTAGTCTGATACACGAGAAAAATACTTTCCCTAATAGCTGAAAGTGAGTGTGTGGTTTTGAGATGCTTGAAACATCTAATCTGTTACGCAGGTTTGTCTCCAATTTCTTTTTTTTAAAATCACTATGAGACATACGTTCATATATCCTAGATATGAACTGATTTGGGTAACTTTCCAGAGTGAGGAGATACAATAGATCATTGAAAATGATAGGGTATTTTTCAAACGTTTAAGCATGTTTATGTATTGCAGTGGGCTGTAAAAGAAAGAAATATTCATGAGCACAAAGGGGAAGTGAAAGCTCCTCTTTACTCAAGGAGACACGGAAACTGAACAATTGTTCATAAATATCTAAATACAAAATTCCTTCTCTCTAATTAATTATCTTCATTGGCATTTCTGAAACCATTCTTGCCGCTTTTTGGATGAACTCAACCCCACATCCACTAACTATGCAACCGGGTGAAGACATTCTGAGAATTTCTGTTGGGAAACGCCTGAGCTGCTGATAACCGCTCCCCACATACCTACATTTGTGATAAATGAGGACAAATGAAATACATAGGCTTGCTATTTCTTCTTCGAAGAAAATCTGAGGCCTTGATTTAAGATTTAAGACTCAACATTCGTAGACAACCAGCATCTGTTTCAGATTTTAAAGGTCTTTAAATCCATGATCGAAACGTTGTGGGAAGACGTGCTGAGTAAGCATAACATCGTGAAGTAACACTGAAAGATAGCACACTATGGTGATGGAGTCTGAGGCAACTGTATTCCCCTCCATATCTACATCTAAAGCCAATATATATTTGACATTTTTAACAGTTTGAGGAAGGACTTTTTAACCACATTTCGATATTTTTTTGTGTGTGTATTTGTCTATAGTAACTCATGAGCTAAACATCAACATCTCCCTCCACTAACTTTTATTTCTCCCCGTTTTCATTTTCACTATTATGCTGTCACTCCAACCCCCAAACCCCGTCCCCACAGTTGGGGGAAAGGTCGTGGAATAATTGCCACTGTTGTTCCAAGAGAGAGTTTGTACTTTTGGACTAGCAGGATAACATCATAAGAGACAGTAATCAGGGTTTTGGATGTTTTCATACTAATTACAACTATCAGTTTACAACTCTCTGACGGCCATTACCGAATAAATTTCCAAACAGATGGTTCACAGTGAAAATCACCCGCGTGGGACTTGAGCCAATTACAGAAGCATACTATAATACATGTCAGAGATTATGTAGTCTCATTAATCTTTAGAAATGTCTCCCATTCCAAAATGTAACCCTTTTTTTAGTTTGGCAATAATTTTCTTCTTTTAGTCCTCCCTTTTCTGATAATCACTGGTGTTCGATGAGAGCTGTCTGTTTTCAAGGAATTGAACGTGTAATTATACCATGTAACACAACATTGCTTTTTATAATTCAGGGATATTCACAAAGGGCACAAAACCCTTTCAATTGAAATTATCTGTCTAGACGTCGTGTGAAAGGACTTTTTAAAGGTTAAAAAAGAAAATTATTCCTCCATTGTTAATCCTGGTAGGATCTAATATTGTTCAGCTGGCATTGATTTCACTGTTATCATACATTAGGTCTGGTGAGCACATTTTAGGGTTTTCAAGCCTTGTGGAGAGATAATTCTCAGCGAATTAAAGTGGATTTCTTCTTCCCAAGGGAAAATCTTTAATGGACTGTCACATTCAAGACCTGGACTGGAGGATTATCTTCTGCTGAGTGCTTCTATTCTTCCCAACAACCAAAAAATACTTAAGTTGATTGCAATGGAGTTGTCTTTAAGCATCCTCCTCCAAAACAACATGTAGCCTATTTCTTAAGGGGCTGCTGAACTATTCTATGTTTCATTCTGCTCACTGGTTTTAAAAACAAGTCAAACAGTGAAGACAGAAAAACAAGGAAACACATTAATTAAAATACTGAAAACTAGCAATCTGCTTGCTAGATGTAATGCAATCTACGAGTAATTATTAGCCATGCAACTGTGGAAGGTTGCAGAGGCAAGTGGGGTACAATAAGACAACCATGCGTGCTAACACACAAACATACACATGTGCACGCAGCTGCCACCACTTTAGACTGCCCAAATAACAGGTTTTTAACTGGAGTGTGTATTGAAAACCCCTGCCAGCACAGGAAGAACATTCACACAACACAGAGAGAACTCCACTGTGCAAACCAGCTGTGATAATCAGCTTTGGGTTCATTTTTAGAACCCTCTACCCCCCGCAATCTACTGGAGAGTAGACACTACTAGGTCCTTAAAAGAAATGAGGCACTCATCCTTTATCTGTCAGAGCGTGAAAGGCCAGGACTGGTGTGAACACAGGAAAATCTTGACGACAATGTAAGATTTTAACACGATATATCTAAAGATTATGTTCATATTTCAATTATATGACGATGGCTGTAAATGAACAATCAGGGATCAGCTCTTGTTGTTTACTAAGAGCATAATGTCTGCACTAACTTTCAGGCAATTCATCGTGAGTTGTCTTGATCCATTTTGAGGTAAACTGCAAAGTTTCACTTAAATCCATCAGTCGTAATTATGTTAAGTGTTAAGATCCTTAAGATGAAAACATGGGGGTAAACAAAACAATGTATCTAACTGCTCAGTGTGACTTAAGACGGATAACAAATCATGGGACTCAAGACATCGGACCCAGACATCCATCTTCTAAGCGACACATTCCATCTTTATATTTGACAAACATGATCCCCAGTGAATCTCTCCAGGGAATTCTGCCCTGGGCCTCCCTCCGACTGGATGTGACTGAAAAATCTAGCGCTATCTATCCTAACTAGATACCCAAACTGCTACTCACTCTCTTGATTCATCACGTATAGAGCAAGAAATACGAACTATGAAATTTAGATGAATGGATATCCTAAATATTTTGAATATTTTTGTGGGTGGAATGTTGGGTTTGTTGCTCACATGCACATTTTTTGGGGGAAATATTCACATAGGGACAATTTTACACAGGGCAACGAGGACCTCTGACATATGGGTCAAAAAGAAATGTTTGGGGACCAAAAATGACTACTTGCTGAAAGATATGGAGAACTTTCTTCTTGTTAGCTGATAGAATTGTTAAAAGGCTATCGCTGCAAATAAGTATCATGAAATATATGTAACGGCTGTATTTGGGATAAGTGTTATGCTTATTTAGAAATATTAATGAAAGGGCCATTGTGTCCTAATATTTAATCATTTCCATCGTCAACTACGAAAATATAAAATAGTGACACCGAGAGCTGGTACGTTACGGGTACTTTAACGTGGTCGTGGTTTTGGTGAAGTCACACCATAATAAAACGCTTATTGTGGGAGATTTTCAAAGACAGCCGCACGTCATAGTCCGTAAGGCTGCTCAATCGAGCGTCGAGCCACCGCTCATCCAATTGAACACGGCCCTACTGAGAAGAACAAGCTCAGCCGTGTGGGGTTAAAATATGGGGCCGTTTTATTTGTTTTTATTTTTAGCTTAAACGTGGACGTATTCCACACTTTTGCCTCCTCTTTCTTGCGGCCATTGTGAATGTTAAGAAAGCGCTGTCAGTTTAGTTGCCTAGCGTTAGCTAACGCGGAGCTAACGGCTAGTCGCTTCAGCTGAAGTTATCAAGGGGGTTACCTCCGTCAGAACAGGCTCTCAACGTATTCAGTTACAGATACTTTAAGTGTTCCGAGTTCGGGAACAAATGGCGCAGATAAACACATTTGCGCGTTATAGTTGTGAGTACTGTCACCCAGCAGTGTAGGTTGCCTGCCAGCGTCTGCTGGTTGCTACCTGTGCCTTACGCCGCTAGCCACGTAAACCGCTCCGGTCTGGTGTTGACGTTGCAGGAGCAGCTAGCTTGCCTGTCCTGTGGAGAGGATATTTATATGCCCCCTCTACCTATTAAATAAGAAATCCCGAAGACCGAAGTCCTCCAAGGAGATGTTTTGCGACTCAAAATGCTCTAGCTGGACTTCAACGAGTGGTTTCTCGGATCTGTTGCACTGAGCGGATGATGAAGCGGGTCCTCTGGCTGATTTCAGGCTTAAACAGAAGAATGATGAAGCTACTTTTTGCCCTCGCTTTGATAGCCTACATTGCCTGTAAGTACTCTCATTTGTGTGTCACTGAACCATTATCAAGAGGCTGGGTGGATAAGGTTTTTATTGTGGAGATGGTGGCCACTAAAAGTAATTTCCATAAAGTTGCCACACAATGTAGCCTTAGACATTGTTTTGATTAGTTCATCACTTATTCAAAGAGAGATCATTTGGCACATGTGATGATTTATAAAAACTACCTTTAACATAAATGTCAGCTGGTCACCATTTTCAGACTGTCATATCTGAGCACTTTGTGTCTATTCAAATTATGTTATGATGGGATCTTTGTACAGTTTATTATCATATTTGCAAAGTCGTACTGTTTATTATCATATTTGCAAAGTCGTAACTTTTGGGAATTTTTTGGGGATATTGTTTCTTACTGTATTGCAACATTTTAGAGACTATAGGGGAAGTAAAATGTCACATTTCGAGAGCAAAAGCTTTCGCTGTGGTATCCAGGGCCTGTACCACAAGGCAAGTTTAACTTGTTCTCACCAAATCTTTCACAAACTCCTCCTGCATTTTCAGAAAGAGGAATAAGTGAATGTTCTCCAGGTGAAATGCCAGTAAAATCCCTGAACGATTGAAATAAAAACTGTAGAAACTCTACTGCTTTTTAAAAATATATTCTTTTAGAAGAATCTTTTAAAATCTCAGAACAATATCTTTTCCACAGAGGATCATAAGAGGCATCACATGCTGAAAGTGATACGTTTTATTGTTAAATGAAAAATATGAGCTCATCTTGGACTTGGCAGCACCATGTTTGAGAGAAGTCTGGGGCAGGGCCTTGTTTACGTCTGTGTAGCCCCCTCTCTTCTTTTAATAAGATTGGAAGCTGAGGAGACCAGCTGTTTGACATTTGCCATACCATTCTGGTTTGATTTGTAATTCTATCTGCTCAGTGGTGTTTCTTCCATCTCTTATTTTGCATTCCCTGATGTGTCAAATGGTGAAGTATCTGGACGGCTGCGGGCCAGTCCCATGTCAGGACCTTCTGCCAAACTATACTGCTGTCATAGATTAGTCATGTTGTTTTGCATCGCCCTGCTGACACATGCAAGAGCTTTTGTTCAACCTCATCTAAGTAAACCTGTTTTTCTTTTTGTTTTTTCTCTCACCATCAAGATGGACGGGTCTCCTCCTTCATACTGCGCATGGTCATGAGTTCCAAAAAAAGCATCAATTAGAATATCAGAACACTTCAAAGTTAAATTTTTAGCTCTTCTTCTAATATCGATGTTCAGCTTTTCTGCTTGAGCTGAAATCTCCAGATTCTCTCAATCTTTTGATTATGTGACGTACAATAGAGAATGAGACACTTGATATGTTCATACTTTTTTCTGTTGTTTTATTCTTAAATGTGTTGGCTCATTTGTTTAGCAAATTGCTGAACTTCTTTCCATCTTGCCCTCTGAGAGGCTCTGCCTCTCTAAGGATCTCTTTTTGACTCCAGTCATGTAAATGAGCTAATAATGCGCAACAGGTTGATTGAAGTGGCACTGTTCACTCCCACTGATGTTTCCAGCGTTTTGCTTCTCTCATCCTGACATTTTGAGGCGGGTCGCAGCCATCAAACTCAAAATGAGCTCATATTTTTTGCGAAAATGATGAAACGCCTAATTTTCTCGACATTATGAACAGCCTCCCAATCATTTTTGAACTGGAGTTGTATACGTTTGTGGTTGATCATTCTGGCAAACTATGAGGTGAAATTATCTGTTGGTCTTTGTTATTTGTCTCTTTTTGCAATCTGTTGCATCACTGATGTGATACTGAAAAAATGATTATGACAAACTGTCTTTTTACAGCCTCCCTCCCTTCCTTCACTCCCAGTGTTTTCCTGTGGCTGCTGAAATAAGCGTTAGATTTCCATCCGAAATCTAACGTTGTTGTTTCAGTTATCTAAAAAAAAAAAAAAGATTTGAATATTTTTTTTCTATCCCCATCCCAAATACTGTTGCTCTCGTTTGCCCATGCAACACATCTGTTTAGCCCCACTTTCTTCCTTTGTTTACAGCCTACAAACACAAACCCACGCCTCATCGGCATCCTTTCCCGCCTGTACCCATAATCAGTATGCACGGAAGCAAAGCCTCATGTGTTCCACTTTTTCTACCTGAGCTCTTTTGATGCAACGTAGAAGGCTTTTCAGGCCTGACAAGAATTTTTCTGTATAATCAGGACAGCACTAGCTTTGGATGTATAGGCCAGCAGGAAGAGCTCATGCTGCCATGCACTCATTCTGGCAGTTATGGTGAGCAGAAGCTGAAGCAAACTTGACTGCTGTTCTCTTTAAATGAGAACAGAAGTCCAGCTGCTGACAAAAGCACCAATCTGGTCCTTAGGTCCTTAGGTAGGAATTAAGTTTCACAATACACAACAAGTTATGTTCATCTTGATGACAACTGAGGTGGACTGATTAAGAAAAGAATGTTGAGGAACTTCTCTTTGCTACCATCTATTGTGGAGGGTACGGCCTTAGCATGGGTCCAGCCACCATCATAATGCTAATACAAAGAAATAAACTGTTAAGTAAATGGATGTGTTAATTGGAGTAGATTTCCATCAGCAATGTCACACTGCTCTGTTACAAGCCCAGAAAGGACAATCAAACCCGTTAAAGTCGGTTGCTCCTTACATTGGTGGAAGGGGACGATGATGGCTTTCAAATGCTTTCTGGTCAATCATTTATTCTTGTTTTATGTTTTCATTTTTCCACTAGGGACGCAGAAGTGGGACATAATCTAGATAATCATTTACCACCATTAACGTGAGATGAAAAACGTGCCATTAAACAATCACCTGATGTGTACTCTGCTCTGTGCAGACCCATAAAGGGAGATTTTATAGTTTAGCACTACTTACAGACTCATTCAGATCCCCGCCCTAACCCAGCCGAGGTGTAGGCGATTACGCCTGTCAACTCATAAAAAAGAAATGGGCCATCCTTAAGCGAAACTTCCAAGTATCCCAGGTTTGAAAGTCTCTGAAAATACTTTTAATGGGTGCCAGATCTAGAGCTGAGTCAAATGTATTGTGCCAAACCGAAAAGAAGCCAGCACAAAAAGTATGGCAGCTAGTCCTCTGTTTTGGCTGGCAACAAGTCATTTAACGTAATTGTTGTCCTTATTCCCAGTCATTTTTGTCACAAGATGCATTTGTTGCCGTGGAAACGCGGCGTTGCTCAGCTGTTGTGCTCTTAAGCTTTGACAGACTGGTGTCACTCAATGGAACACTACCATCTTTTTTCTCTGTGCTTTCACGATGCTGCCACCTCTAATGGTTCCCTTTCTCCCTTGCAGCCGTGTGGGGAACATACACAAACATGAGGTACAGTCTTCCTTTTTTTTCTATTGTAAGTTTACTTGTATTTGTCAAAGTCTGGCAACAAAAGCATGTTGCTGTGTGTTAGCTATAGTTGATGAAAATCAGACCTCATCTTTATGTGTTTTATGTGTTTAGTGAAAACGAGGAGTCGTTTAAGTGAAATAGCTTAAACACCAGTGAAATCTGGAAATGCTTTCCATATTTTACAGTTAAAGTGAATATGTGGTGTGCAGAGCGAATTGTCTTCCTTTTTATGGGGCATCCTGTAAAGGATTTTCTTGAACCCTCAGGAGGCGATGGCTTGGTGCAGTGCAGGTATAATGTGTGAAAACTGTTTTTCTGACCACATGATTACTTCTGATCCTCTTCATTTCTCTCGTTGCAGATCAATACAAGACGGAGACGTGAAAATTGAGCAGAAAATTGATGAGGTGAGTTTGACACACAAAGCCGTTAATTCACCTTGAAAATAATGTTGTCTTATTCTTTCCTTGAAATTGAATATGTGCCATATTTTCGCTTTCCATGCCTTTTGTTCAACAAGGAAAACATTTTGCTGAAAGACTTTCAGGAGAAATGAATAATTAGCCACAAATTAGTGGTGAATATTCTGGATGTGTAGAGTGAATTTAAGTGGATCAACATAATCCACAGCAGGGCTACAGCAGTCAGTTTGCTTTGAGCAGAGCCAGAGCCTGACATCTGTGGCTGAAAGACGTCCTTATCCCCACAGAAGCCATGGAGTTAAGAGTTGGTTTCGTGATGCACCGAAGTTGAACAGACCACTTAGTTTGGATAGGCCAGGAGCTAGCTAGCTAAGTACCAATACGTATGGGGGATTTCCATAAGGAAGGATTAAATATTACACAAATTGTATCTACTATAGGAGGCACACATTAGGTGAAATCATTTCAGGCCAAAAACCCTATCCTCTAGGAAAAACAAAAAAGCTGGCATGGAGAATGGCTACATGTTGGTGTTTTAATTGGGCTGAACCAAACTGCCACTGATCAAGAAGCAGGGTACACCTGGAAGAAGTCACCTGTCCATCCAGATAGAAAAAAGTCATTCTGTCATTCTGTTCTGTTAGCTGTTTTTAATTGGTTTTGGTGCAGAAGACAAATATGCACTTTAAAAAAAAAAAGAAGGTCTGCTTGAAGTCATAAGCTTGATTAGAGCAAAGCTTCCACATGGAGGACGGTGCGTACCAGTGTTGTGCAGAAGCTTTGTACTGTTTGGGAACATGAGGAGACTTCTCAGAACGAAAAGCCTCCCCGTTCTTGCTTGCTGCAAGACACCAACCACGATACATATCTGGACTTTAGATATTTCATGTAATAATTACACTGACCTGGTGCTCCATTACTTCTTACACTTTTTACTCTCTGTAAAGCCCTCCATTGAAAACGTGACTAGTTTGAGCCATTATGACACGTTGCTTTTTTTTTTAACGTAAGGCAGACGTCAGCACGACATCCTTTTTGGGAATCATTGACGCCGATTCCCCGAGGAGGGGGATATCTGCAAATCCCCAGCACTGAATTTTGAACATTTCTCACTAATTTATCACACCAGAAATGTTCAAAAGAACATCTGGACGGTTTTGATCAGATTTGATCAGCGGTGGAACATTTGTCTTCTAATGTGCCGAGTCCGACAGTCCAGAACATTTCCAGTGCCTTCCAGAACCTCACTATATTTTCAGAGAGGATGTCATACTTTTAGATGGTGGGAAGGACATATGGTTTCACAGACTTTGCAGAGATTGACACTGGAGAAATAGGATTTTATTTACCACTTGTGAAGTAAGGTCAGGGTTAGTCCTCATAACTCCTCACTTAAAACATACTGAAAGACTTAACTGTGATCCTGCTAATCCAAATGGGATGTTTTAAGTTGCCCGTGTGCAATTTCCAGTTGGAGGTAAAATATTTGTAAATCACTGCGTTGACATTGCGTCGGATAGCTGAAACTGCTGCACATGAACACCAGTGATGAACACAGATATCACATAATATTGTACCAAGCTGTGTGCTTATCACATTTTACAGTCACTCGCTGAAATAATTATTCGTTATCTGGTTGACCTTAGAGTTTAAAGAGCTGGTTAGCCTTTGAGGTCCGTCACATCCTGGCAATCTCACCTGTGAAGCCGCTTTGACCTTATTTTGAAGTAATAATGAGTCTAAGTCATGATAATGAGCATGCAAATAGACAAATTCATGTACTTTCCCAGACTTGGGATTACTAAATTTGTGTCCCTTTGCTAAATATGATATAAAAAGGAAAGCTTTTTTTACACGTAACATCTAATCTACCTTTTCTTTCAGACTAATTAAATCAGGCAGTTTGATCATTTTATGATAGCCTTTAACAACAGATGCTTGGAAGAAGGATTAACATTCACCACATGCTGGGTTGGGTCAGAGTTGATCTACTCCTGGAGAATGAGAGGCATAAAAGGGAAGGAAGAAGAGCCTCTATGCCAGGAAATGATTTTTATATATACATTGGTAGGTAGTTATCAGATGCTACTGGAGAATGAGAGTGCCCCTTGGTCAAGGCGATAAATAATTAACATGGAGATGACAGAAGCTTGCCTGTAAATCTTGGTTAACATGCTGTTGTGGTAACCCTGGCCCACCGTGGGAACCATTCATAATTCACTATGTGCTGACATGAACTCACAGATATCTTGCTTCTCGTCTCACTTTTAGGCTGTGGCTCCTCTTAGAGACAAAATTCGCGACCTGGAACAAAGGTGTGTATTCCATGCACGAGCTTGCTGCTTGTTCTTCTCGAGGTTACTGAGGCAGCTTTGCCGTGCATACAGATGATCTATCCATTGTGATTTGGGTTATTTTTAATGATAAATCTGGTTGATTTAATAACTTGGACTTGCACTTGGTTCCCACTCCAAATCATCTATTCAAATCCCTTCACTTATCTGGTTTTGTTGCTACTATCATTATATTAGTCTATTCTTCTTCTTATTATTATTATTATTGGATGTCATTGTAATAGAAAAAGCAATATGAATCCTATTTATTATTTTAAAAGTTGTCATTGCTGATGAGTTGATTTTCTCTTCTAGTTTTTCTCAGAAATACCCACCGGTAAAGTTCCTCTCAGAAAAGGATCGAAAGAGAATATTGGTAAGTTAAATGCACATTTCAACTTTCATAATATTTACTTATAAATTACATCCATTTCATACAATGTCTTCAGTTATTTTTTTTTTATGACACACCTTTCCTCCGTTTTGGTAAATTTCATTCCCATTTAAAGAGAAATGCTGATGTTTATTAGCACTCACTCTTGGTAAATGGAATGTGACAAACACTTTAATTTGGTAAGTTTAAATTAAGTTAAATTGGTTCATCTGTGTAAGAAACTAAAGAGAATAGGAGCTGACCTCATTCACTGACCTCAGAGAACTGGAGAGGAAAGTGCTGAGAAATGTGTGTACAAATGGAGCTTTGAGCTAAAATGATTTTAATGCTCTTACTGCTTTCAATTGGCCCTCTTTTGTGATTTGATCAGAAGAAACAAGTAAGATGAATGTGACATCCAAGCCTGCTTTGATTTTTTACAAAAGACCTAAAACTATATTATCCAGTTCTTGCAGTAGCCCTGCGGGGCTAAAATCCAGCTTATTATGGTGCACAAAGGGGTGATTTTAGCTGAAGTCGTGACTGCTCCACAGTACAGAGAGCAGGTTGTTCCAGCAGTTCCATGAAGGGCTTCCTCGGCTACGATTAGCTTCAGAAAACGCCAGCAACTTATTTGATTTTGATCTACTTCTTGAATGATTGCCTGATTTTACCTTAAATTACCACTCCGTTTTAGTGAAGTCTTAGTGAAAATGTGTCCGCAGAGCAAGAGTAAACAGAGCAGAATTTTAACCGTCTAGGACAGGGGTGTCAAACTCATTTTCACTGAGGGCCACATCAGCGTATTGGCTGACCTTAAAGGGCCAGATGTAACTTATAAATGTAACTAAATGTAATTGAATGTAATGTAAAAGAAATGTAACGACGCCTTAATGTTAAATAACTCATTATTTATCCAGTAGTTGAAAAGGCATTGTAGGAAATGTAGATTTTGGTCAAAGCATGCTTTTAATTTTAAAATTTTTTTTGGTATTCATTTTTAGACACTCAAAACTTTTAAGCTCTCACGGGCCACATAAAATGACATGGCGGGCCACATCTGGCCCGCGGGCCTTGAGTTTGACACATGTGGTCTAGGAGGATGGGCATTGTCGGTTACACTTTAAAGCCTCCACTGTTGAATGCTTTTGTTTGTGTTTCTACACCGAGATGCCAGGTCCATTAAGGCCTGGCATCTCCACCAGGTTTCACCCATCTCACCTTGAGTGACACATTCAAGGCGAGATGGGGCTGTTTTCAACCTGTTATCATGTTGTTGTATTGCACAAAGGGCTTCCTTTTGTTTGGTTTTTTTTTTTATGCTAACCGTGTATGAGCGATTGGATGTGGCTGGACTGAAAACAGGAGGCTGGGTTCCCAGCCCTCAGCAACAGCAGGCTCACAGATCTCCTTAAAATACCATCAACCTTTTGTTTTTATCACTTTATGGCTTGAAGCACTCTTGGTCTCAGAAGTCCAGAAACTCCCTGATGGCAGCTGCAGTGACTGCTGAGTTTCTCCTGTGAGGAATACACATCTTCACAGGTGGTTTTTCTGTTTCAACTACGTTGTGTTGATAGAAACAGGCAAGAGACATAATAAGCTGGCAGCAGAAGGAGGAGGAACCATTGTTTCTGCATGACATCCAGCAAAACAACTTAGATGATGTCATGGTTAAAGCATATGTGATCGATAAAGCCTGAATTGTTCGCAGAGTTAGCCCATGGATAATGTCCTTCCGATGTTTTAAAAACACAAATTCTTTTCAGTTTCAGATTTTCTATCTTTCCTCTTTGTTTTCTCTGGTGTTCGAGTGTTTTTGGACGAGCCACTGCACATTTGACTCTTTTTCTATTATCGTTGATATTGGAAGAGCACTCACCTTCAATTTCACTCTAAGAATGAAGTCTTTTGGAACTATTCAAAAGATAATCAAGTCTTTTGGTGCCCCTATGTCCAAACTTTAATTTAAAGAAACACATTTTTGCATGTCAATTATCATTGCAACTCTTTACCATCTGTTTGTTGTTTTTTTTTTATCATAAAAGGCATTTTGCAATTAGAAAACTAAATACTTGGTTTTGTTCAGGTTGTTCAGCTTGTTATGGGTCTGTGCTGTTTTATACAAATAATTTTCATGTTCTTTTAAAGCTAATAAAGTTCCAAGCACAGACGCATTGGATGGTGCTCAAAGTATCGATTTGTGGATTAAATTAGCTTTCTTTGTTTAGATTACCGGCGGGGCTGGTTTTGTTGGATCCCATCTGACTGACAAGCTGATGATGGATGGCCATGAAGTGACCGTGGTCGACAACTTCTTCACGGGGAGGAAGAGGAACGTGGAACACTGGATTGGTCACGAAAACTTTGAACTCATCAACCACGATGTGGTGGAGCCTCTTTACATTGAAGGTGAGCCAATGTAGGAAGCTTTAAAATTAAAATAAAAAGTTTTTTTTTTTTACACAGCTGGCTTCTTTCTCCAATGAGTTTCCGGTTTGATAATTTCTGCCCATGTGATTTGACCTTCTGAAAAAGAGCAATGGCTATCCTAACAGTGACAATTCAAGATTTAAAACACTGAATTTAGAATTTAAAATAAAGAATACTTTGGGGGCACCTTCTTAAACCATGTCCACGCAGATGAATTTTCTATCGGGCATTATAGCTGTCTGACATGGAGGGACGAGTATGGGATGTCACCCTTTCTCTGAAGATAGATGTGCTTCACAGGATGTTAACAGCAAATGCCTTAGGCATAACTCACCTTAAACCTAACCAATTTAAAAAGGAATTAGAAATCAGCGCTCTAAACACATCAAGTTTTATGAAGAGGAAAAAAGTCAGAAGGCATAAAACATTTACGTCACTGGCTCTGAAGAAACTCGAGGTGAAATCAAAAGGCTTTTACTATAAATTATTAACTTTTAACTTATGCTCTTCAGTGTTTAGAGGGTTAATTAGAAAGATGTTCTCAGAATTACAACAAAAGCGAGAAGTGGCTAGAACCTAGAACTTTGGCCTGGAGCTGCAATTCAGATTCACACTTTTATAACGTTTTGTGTTAAAACATTTTAAAAAGGAGACGTTTTGGCACCACATTAGGAAATAGAAATCAAATGGTTATTCATTATTGGTTAGAGGTCTTTTTTTTTTGTTTTTCTACTGCAGGAGGTTTATTTCTCTAATAATTAAATGACAATAAAGTAATATGAAGTAAAATATTATGGGAAAATATGCCTTTTTATGTCAGTAAATTATCTTAAATCCTTTTTTTGGCTTCGTAATGTTTTCATCCTGCCAATTCTCCATTCTTTCACTTTGAACAAATGTTTAATTTCCCAGAGTCTTCCTGAGCTTGTGGATTTCCTTAGTCAAACTGAGTGCAGTATCCCTCATCTTCTGTTTGCTTTCTTTGCTATAACACCTGTCAAAAGCACAAAACTGAGCTCAGTTGGGCTTAGAGAGCGGTTGAGGGGTCAGTGGGGGCTCCATGGAGTGCCATATGAACAGCGTCAGCAGGGATTATTGGCTCAGAGAACACCATCCAACTGCACGGCGTGCCGTGAATACCTCCAACAGCAAATTGATCACATCTTGGAGTAAATGTATCACTTCTGCTGTCTGCCTTGAGCTGTCTCGCAGTCCTTTATGGTAAGAAGTCCTCATTAGAATAATCTAATGCATCAGCAGTTTCTACACAGGCACTATCACTCAGACATGCCTGATTTACATGAAATATGATAGCTTATTAAGAATTCTTTGTTTAATCTTGCAAATACCAAACTGCCAAAACATCCCACTGACGGCGGACATCCAGAGTTTTCTGCATCTCATCTAAGATGGAACCTCTGATGTCATTGTTTCTGTATTATTTTTCTGAAATGAAGTGAATTGAAAACTATTGAAAGGGAAAACTGAACAAGGTCTAAAGTGAAAGTAAATGTAGCGATCAGGAGGTCAAGCAAAAAAAAAGTTATTGAAAAGTTTAGAAAACCGGATGAATGGCGGGTTTCTTTGAAGTTCCATGAGATGATGCACTGTGATTTTGGGCTGTGTGAATCATTCCTGGATTGGAGTGGATTGAATTGGTGATGATGAAGAGAACGAGATGCTGAGGGGGAAGATAGAGCTTATTAAAAATGCAGTCCCAGTTGGGGATCATCGATCATACCGCCCAGTATCGATGTTTGGATCAGTTTATTTTAGGAGGCTGTGCTTAGTCACTCACAACAATATTTAGAAAAGTGCAAACTTGTTTCAGTTCATAAACTCATCCTGCCATGAAAGTTTTAATCATTAAAAATACTTTGAAATGCCAATATATGAATCATAAAAGCCTTTGCATACCTTTTATGGACTCGCATAAATATGTATTGTTGCAAAATTGAAAATGTTCTCCATGAAACTGGGTGGGAAGTTAAGGCGTGCTCAGTAAGCAGGTCGATACCAGATAGCAGATAGATGTCCCACTCATTCAGAATCAGCAGCCCGACATGCTCAGCGCTATTGGTAGCCTAAAGACGTCACCATGATTATTATTTATTTATTATCACACATGACGTTATCGTAGAGAATTCAGTTTAGGGAGCTTCACTCTGAAGCTGGTGCACAACCAGCTGCTCTTTTCAAACTTTTTCAGCCCAGCAAACTTTCTCAGCCTATTGTTATTGCTTTTTTTTAAAGACCCGCTCACCTTTTTCATTGGCTAGTAACAGGTCCCACATTCGTCCTTTGGGATTTCTACTGGTGAATAGAACGACTTGCTGTGTCACAGCCTTACAGAAGACGGAGCACACAGAACCATCTGACATTATCACCTACTGTTTCTTTCATTGTATTATTTCAGTTTTTTTTTCTTTTCGTCTTTCTTTCTTCTTTGATTCTGGATCTCGATATGTGTTGTTCTTAAAAAAAAACCCTCTAAACATGGCGGTGAAGAGTGTCCAGAAGAGAAACGGGTTCAGTTACTCTGTCATTTATATCGTGCTGCCATTGGTAAAATGATTTGTTGTTTGTTGTTTACCTCCTTTTTACAGTGGACCAGATCTATCACCTTGCGTCTCCAGCCTCTCCTCCTAACTACATGTACAATCCCATCAAAACACTCAAGACGAACACGATCGGCACTCTGAACATGCTCGGTGAGTAACTGTAGCCTAGGAGAGGTCTGAAATACGACTGCTTATTTATCCAAGACTTCCAAAAGTTTTGTCATTCTGCTGAATGTACTGTAATTAGAAATTGATGTTGCTATAGATTCTGTTAATATTTTTACCCTCTTATCTCCAACAAACACACTCTGAATGTATAGATGATGGATTTACAGAAATAACTCCTTCAATTATAGGGCGAGGCAGGAGACTCTGAATGGTTCCCATTTGTGGCCCTCCGCAAATTCTTAACATATTTTTCCTGCCAGCCATTTACATTACAGTCAAGAAAGTTACAATTAGACAGTTAGAATTTAGGTTTTTAAATGATAAAACTATTTACCACAAAAGATCCTTAATCATTCTTTGCAATGACTGTGTAAGAATGTTGAAATGGGTTATTGATAGAGGCAGAGCAGAGACGTGAGAATGCTCTCTATAACCCTTATTCCCTAAAAGAGATTTTCTTAGACCATCCGCAGACATAAGTTCTCAGATAAGAGGGTGGAATAGTTGTTTTTGCCACACCGGAGCTAAAGAAGCTCATGAAAAACAGCTTATTATCAAAGATTAGTGTATGAGATGTCAGAACCTTAAATGGTTACCTGTTAAAAAATGTTAGAGATGGTAAATCCCAGCACACAGAAGCCCCCCCACCACCACCAATCACAGACATTAATATTTACTCTGGTGATTAAAACCCTCTGCTGCCCCATCTGGAGTTTAGTCTGACATCAGTGTGATGGGAACATGCACACACGCACCAAAGAAGAGGAAAGGCTGCACACAGAGGCAGGAGGGAGATGCTTTCAATCTGAGGTTACGCAAAACTGTTTTTTATCAGATCCACCGATAGATAAACAGAAAGGGAAGAAACGAACAGTGACTGGACCAACACTGTTCTAAATGTAAGAAAAAGGATTTTGAATAAAGGTTTAAGTATCATACATGAACATGAACAGCCACACGAGACAACGAGCAAAGCCATCGTCCTAGGTCAGGACTGTGTGTCCCCAGACATTTGACTGACAAGCGACACTCGTTCGAACACGGGAATGTACATGTTTTGGCCAAAGATGACAGAATGTTAGTGAAAGGGAGTGATATGTGGTTATCTGGGAATCCCCCATTCTGCCAGTTAGAGAGACATAAAAGCTTGATTAAGCACCTACTGCCTCATCTGAGAAAACACAAGCATAAAAATGACTTTTCATACATAATTTGCAGGATTTATAGATTCCGTCAGCTTTTTTTCCCTTCTTTTTTCAAGCGCTAAATCTGATCAGACGGAAGACATTTTGTTTCCCTCTGTCCGGCTAAAAGATAACTATTTGTTCCGTTTGTCTCACAGGTCTGGCGAAACGTGTGGGCGCAAGACTTCTCCTGGCCTCTACGTCAGAGGTTTATGGAGGTAAGAAATGACACAAATCAAGCTGGGCTTTTTTCTTTTTCCCACACTGCTATATGGTAATTTCAGCCCATTTCCTCTAAGGTGGAAGGGCCGCCTGCTAGATTAGAGAGATAAAAACCCGTTCTGCTGTTTCTCCCAGACACTCTGTGGAAATGCCACACTTAAAAGTCAGTCAGACCAGGACAGAAGCCTTTGCTCAATGAATCCTGCTACACGTTTCCTTCCATCGCAGGTGTTTTTATGTAAGCCTCAGAACACATCGAATTCGAACATAATCAATCACTTGTCACTCAGCTTTTATCACTCAATTTTCTTTTTCAATCTGTTGAAAACATGGACGGCTTCATCATGTCAGTCCAGCTGTAGAAATATTTTCAAAAGATTAAAAAAAAAAAAAAAAAAGAATTTCCCCTTGTATTATTATCCAGACTGCTTTTCAGTGATACCTATGCAGGCCTTTTTCCAAATGAATGCAAAAAATGCGCCTTTGGATTTGAGCTTAATTTAAGGAGAAGTGTAACATTTAACTTGTTTAATTGGTTGTTTTGTTGACAAAAATACTGCTTCATTCTACAAAGACTACAAGGAGACACGCTGCTGCTGGCTGTTCTGTTGTCCACTCCCTCTGGTGTGCAGTCAGTCACCTCCTTTCACACCACCATTTTTCTTGATTTGCTTGGGGGGTCGGGGGGGGGGAGGAGGAGGTGGCAGTGTGACAATATGTGAAAAGGTCAAATTGTGTGTCTCTCGCCGTCCCTATGAAAGTGTTGGCAGGCCTGTCGGCAGCCATATTACACTTAAAAGAGCTGTTTGATTCAGTTCCTTTGTGAATGATCCGGCTGCACAGATAAACACGCTCTGCCTGGTGAGCTGGCGATCAAACCTTCACCCAATATGGAGGAAAAAGGAAGTGACCGGGCCGAGGAGCATCATACAACAAACACTCACCGGCCAGTTTCTTTGGAACACTTGTTCAACATTTCATTAACACAAATAGCTAATCGGCCAATCACATGGCTGCAACTCAGTGCAGTTCTGCTTGTGGAGGTGGTCAAGACAAGTGGGCAAGTGCCAACTGAGCATCAGAATGAGGGCCAAAGGGGATTAAAGGGACTTTTAACGTGGTATGTCTGTTGGTGCCAGACAGGCTGGTGTTAGCATTTCAGAAAACTGCAGATCTACCGGGATTTTCATGCACAACAATCTTTACAGAGAATTGTTTGGACGAGAAAAAAAAAAATCTACTGCTGTGGGATGAAAAGGTCTTGTTGATGGGAGAAGTCAGAGGGGAATGGGCCGACTGGTTCCAGATAATAGAAAGGCAACAGTAACTTTTTTTTTGTTCTGCTGCTTCAAAATTACTTCTGAGAAGTCAAATACATGTAGGGACAGACAAATGGACTTCACAGACATTTGTTTTAAGTTATGTGAATGATGGTTAGGACTAATTCACTTGTATTTTTTTATTTTATTTTTTTATTTTCCCCTTAAAAGCCTAGTCGAGATAAAGAAATTTGATGTCAACAGAAAGTGAAACCCAAAAATCAAACAAATCGTCTACATTTGTATGACCAAAGTTGCATGAAAAGGGAATTTTTCGGGGGTGATTTTGTGTTCATCCTGATCCCCAGCGACATGATTTTAAGACATTGTGGTACATTTTGTTTAACACCTTTTGAATTGTCGATCCCATCATTTATAAAGCGAGGTTACTGTCATCTCTATCCTTTTTCACCGACTGTTGCTTGTAGTTTGAAATCACTTTTGGGCGGTCGTAAAAGAAGAATAAAGTCTTGTATCAAACGGTTCATCTTGATTTTTATAATTTGAATACTAAAATGATGGAAAGATGTGTGTTCCGGCTTAACATCTTAACATGACCCATTTTCTTTGAGCTTCCTTTTGAAGTGTTGCATCTGAACTGTGAGTCAGGGTGTTGTTTGTGTGTGTGTTGGAAGGAGGAAGAATCAAGCATTGGATGTTTTTAAAATGTTAAATTGTAAAATCTTTTTTTTATTTTTATAACCACTATTGAAATACAATATTTTTGTTTCAGATCCAGAAGTGCACCCTCAAAACGAGGAATACTGGGGTCACGTGAACCCAATTGGTCCTCGAGCATGCTATGACGAGGGGAAGCGCGTAGCAGAGACCATGTGTTATGCCTACATGAAACAGGTATCACCGGAGCAACAACTGAAAGACAATTTTTTTCTTTTTTCTTTTTTCTATTTTATTGGCTTGACTCTTCGGTGAACCACGAGTTTGAAGTGGGACTTGGAATCCACAGTTGAACCCTTTCACTGCTGATGTATTATTAATGCAGCAAAACAAGCTTTCTTCCATTTTAGTCTGTGGAGACGAGGTTGATTTGAAGGGTTTATTGATTCGAATAAAAATTTAATGTAATATTATTTTTTTTAATAGTTATTTTTCTTTTTTACACAGCCATAAAAAAAAGAGAAACAAGAATCATCTAGTGTGACACACGCAGTGGGCGTAATGGGTAAATGTGTCACAAATGAGCTGTTTGAAGGGATGCTTCTATTATTAGTGCGTTTATTGCTGAAGCAGAGATGAGTGATGTGGTAGAAGATTTTGTAAACCTCATGATCATTTCAGTTATGTAAAGCCTTTTTCATAATGACCTGACTGACAGCAGCCTTTAATGATCAGATATGATTGACTCGTCAGGCCTTTCCTTCAGGCAGGTGATATTTATTTATCTGCCTCGCCGTTTGCTCGTCCTCAGCCGGCTCATTATTTTTATTCCACACTCGCTAAGAAGATTTTCCGAAATGGCTGCCTTTCAGAAATCTATCTGTCTTTCAGAAATCTAGCTGTCAGTTGGCTGTGTGGATGGAGGGGAATAATCACATGTTACATCTATTTCCCAGTTGTATAATCAAAATTCATTATCATATAGAGAGGGAGGAGTGTAGGTCATGCAGTGGGATGCAAAAGAGCAGGTCTTACTTTCTTCTTAGCCTGAAGGACATTCTTCTTAATATTACAAATTTTCAAAGTAAGAAGAAAAAAGTAAAATTGCATCTTTTGATTACTGCTTACAGCAAAATACCTTCAACAAATTCAGTTTCTAAGCAGTTTTTAAAACGTGTTATTTGGAGTTTTGCTGCTGTCTGTCAAATAATTAGGAAACCGAGGAAGACAGTATTTCTCAAATATGTGAGGGGGAGGAGCTATTCAGCTGGAGAGGGAGTGTATGAATAGTTTTTTCAGTCTGTTTTGTTATCAAATGTAAGGATCTAAGCTATATCCAGGCTCATTAGAGAAGAAAAGGATATGTGGAAAACGTCTCCCAGATCTCATCCCTTCACACAAATATTCAAAGAGCGTTAGTTTTTTACTCTGAGTTTTTTACCTTTTTGTTTTTAACGAATGATGTGATCAGTTTGAATTGGATTCAAACTGATGTGGGCTTAGAAAAAAGCTCAGAAAAAGGAAAACAAGCTGAAATCTGTTCAATTATTGTCAAAAAGAGGTAGATTGAAGCCAGAAATGAGGAAGAATTAAATGCTGTTACTGACAAAACAGGCGGAGCTTAGACGCTGACTTTTCCTAGACGTCTCGGCCACATTATACAGTGGCCTTTTCACAAATTTGTCCAGTTCACTTGTGTAATCTTTCACTTGTTTTTTTTTCAGCCACCATCTCATTTTTTAACTCGGTCTTTCGCCTCTGGCCAAATACACTTTGCATATTCTTAACCTTCTGTTTGGTTTGGGAGCTCAGCTTTTTCTTAATCAAATAGATGTATTTCAAATTTGATTCTTCTTCGCAATTTCTGTAAAGCAATGATTCCTGTTTGGGATATTTTGTTTGTGTATTAGCAAGATTGAGTTCTAGCTGCTTTACTTGTCTATTTATTAAGATGAATGCATTTATATATATGTTTAGGTTTGTAAACTAAGTTTGAATGTCTAAAGAAAAGCAAGCCACTTAAGCTTGTATATGCTTACGCAAACCTTCATCTACATAGTCTGGGCAGACACAATCTTCCTTTCCAGACCTCTTCGTCATTGTATCCAAATTTCGTCCTTGTTCCTCACCATATTAAATATATTTATAGGCTGAATCTTATGAATTTCACGTCGCACATTTTAAAGAGAACAATCTGCATAATTTTCATGATTTTATTCATGTTTTATCACCATAAATGTTCCGGCTTTGCATCCAAAGTGGTACATAGTGATGGATGAGGATGACTTAAGAAGGCCTTGAATTTCAAAAAGGGAGAATTATCTGAATGACTGGTGTGAGAGTCCCTCGTGTAGTTGGCCTCATTCAATTATTGTTTGTTGATCAGCAGCATTGATTGTGTCAGATGCTCTCTGAGTACCAAAAAAAAAAGAAATAGCTGCAGGGGAAAATATATATATATATATATATATATTTTTTTTTATTGATTCTGATATTCTTGATGAATTAAGTTCATTCAGCGTCACAAATATCAAACACACACATATACATATATATATATTACAAAGATGATACAGTTCTGCATAGGAATAACCAAAATGGTGTTTGAAGGGCAAGAACAAAATTGACTTGTTGCCTCCTTTAAACTAACAGACAAATTACGGCATAATGCTGGATAATGAGACATGTCATGAAAGCACCACAGTTTCATCTTTTAAGTGGTACAGTTTCTTTTTGTCTGCTTTCCAGGAAGGAGTGGAGGTCAGGGTGGCAAGAATCTTCAACACATTTGGCTCCCGGATGCACATGAACGATGGACGTGTTGTCAGTAATTTCATCCTTCAGGCTCTACAAGGAGAACCTCTCACTGTATGCATTTTAAGCACCTCTCGTGTCCCCTCACCTTGTTTTTTTCCTTTTTTGTGTGCATCCATCAGACTCTCCGTCTTTAGTGCGCCTTTGCGTGAATGTTCACATTGAAGGGGCATCAGCGAGATGATGATTGATGAGATTAGTGCTTTTGCATTACCTCTTCTATGATACGAGGGTGTAAAAGTCCTGTTTTCTTCCTTGTTTGGATTGCAGTGTTCTTAACCACTCTGCCCTGAGGTGGGAACATTTTATGGTAAGTGGAAATTCATTTTATGGGAGGTAATGATTATGCCATTTCCTGTTTTTCTGCTAGGTGTATGGAACTGGCTCCCAAACAAGGGCCTTCCAGTATGTAAGGTAAGAGACATTTTTGTTACCTGCTACCAGTTGGATGGTGTAGAGTTGAATAATATCTAAAAGAGGGACATAATAAGTTGCCATATTACTATATTGCATTCTCGTTGTATATTTAGATAGTGACCTCTCTTCTCAGACCCTTCCCAGAGGAAAATACTATTCATTTTGGGGCTCAAATTAAATGGCAGATTTATTTTGGAATTGACTCTAATGGAAATGTGAGGCCGTGTCCGGTTCTGCAGCCCGAGCATATTCCATGTTCAAAGAGTGCTTATCGGTTTGTTTTGTAGGCCTTAATGAGATTAACTTCATTAAATGGAAAAGGTAGATCCGAGACACGAAGCATTTGAAGTCTCATCCAACCGTTTGCCTGCTGCCCTGAATGGCTTGAGCGTTGTGTAAATGGCCTTTGGATAAACTCCTCCTGAGGCGTCGGAGAGCCTCCGCTGACGTGTGGTAAACTCACATGACCTTCTCCACTGAAACTATTCACATCCATAGGTCACCCTGCCGCTAGAATTAAAACACTTGGTGTAATTAAACATATTTAAATTAAAATTGGAGCTTAAATTGGAATTTTTCTTGACACCAGGTTTATCATTAACTAATGCACTCCATGTAAAAGATGTTTCATTTGGCTGTGAGATTTATGTTTGGATAGATTGTATATCAGACTGTCAGCATTGGTGGGTGGAGAGCAGAGAAAACAGCTTTTGTTGGCGCGGTGTTGATTGTGTGCTTATCAAACAGTGATTGTAGCCGTGGTTTCTAATTTGTGTCAAAACAAACCATTAAAGGGATGGTTTTGTGCAGTTTGTACAAGGATCTCCAGTTTTGTCAAAAGTTTTTGTATTATATTTTTGGTTGTTATTCCGAGCCAAAGCCATCGGTGTTCTGAACGCAAAGTCACCTCGCTCCAAATTATGATGCAGGATGCGTTTTCCATATCATTGGAAAAGCTGTCAGTCTGTCTCCGCTGCCTACCATAGCGGCTGTTTTTTTGCTTATCGTATGCAGTTGTTCTCCCCGATGAGTTTTCTTTCCAAGGATGTTGACGTCAGGGGATGATGGGAGCAGCCGAAGCATTTTCCTCTCTTCTTGTTTTCCCAGAGCAGCCAAAAAGTCAACTGTGTTTTTTTTCTCCCCACGGGATTCTGTTCTTTGTGTTATTTTTGAGGCCGCAACTGTTGTCATACCAAAGGAGAAAGTTCTAATTTTGGATGCGACATTGTATATGCCATAAGAGGCATCCAGGACACACACATTTCCTCTCAATGTCTCAGCTGATCGTGCCCAAGTACACTCTTTGGTTTTATTAAAACCTTACTCCAGTAGCCAAATTTAAATTCAGTCTATTTCAAATTCCTATTTCTTATTAGATGATTACTTTTTTTGAGACACGTCAGATGCTTTTGTTCTTCTTGGAATATGCTGGGCTATTTCTTTATTTTTTTATTTTTTCCGAGCTTTTTTCTGAGGTAAATTCAAAATGAAGAGCAGCTAAACTTCAGGAAGAGAGGAACCCAAGCTGTCACAGACCATTGAATTAATCAGCTATTTATATCGTAGAGGCCTGACAGGAAGTACCAATCCTGCCAATTGTGATTCCCGGCACCGGTTTGTGAAATAAGATCACAGCCCCTGGCTGCCTACCTTCTTTACATAATGAAGCAGAAATGCATGAAGGAATGTAAAAGTGAATACAGAGACATTTGCAAAAAGAGACATGGAAATAAATGTCCCTAGGTAAGTAATTAGGGGAAACACAATATGGAAAAATTTAGAGAAACACTTTTTTTTTTTTTATGTAGTTTTATGGAGTTGCATCATGTTTTGTAAAACATAGACATATAGAAAGCTATAGAATTTAATACTTTTTTGTGTTTGGAGCGATAAAATAAGAAGGAACATGTAGACAACTATGCAAATATGAATTATTAATTCTTCTTACAAAAACCAAGCAGTAGATTCCTCCCCTGTTCTAGCAGTGTGGAAACGAGGGGAAAGAGGTGACGCTTATCTTTCCCGAGTCTCTGGGCACAGTGCAGGTGCTCCAGCTCATCACTGCCGACCGTGATGATTCTGCTGGGCAACAGAACTCAATTTTCAAACCCTCTTTGCAGAAAAAAACCTTAAATGAAATAAAGTCAAAATACAATATGAACATATATATATATATATATGTACTCTATAAATAGATGTAACATCAGACGCTGTGCTTCTTTTCATGGTGCAACCCATAAATTAGCCAATTTCTGTGCCACCGTGGCATTTTGCAGTGTTTGCCAAAAATCCCCAAGAGATGATTATGATATTCTCTAAAGGGACGATGGATGGTGTGGTAGCTTTTTGGGTTTCATCCACCAAACATGAGGCTGTCTCAGGCAATAAAGAAACAGGAATTAGTTCTTTATTCTGCCACAACCATCCAAAAACAACATCCCCAAGCAATGTTGTACGTGCATGAGTTTAGAATGACCATTTTCTCTTGATACATAGTCTTTGTTGGCAGTTAATATATATTTTTTATTTTCTTTATTATCACATCCCTAGCTGCTCTTTATCTTTTATGGTGGATGACATCAGAAATGAATGTACTTCTAGTTCACGAGTAGAGGGTGAGATTGACCCATAAACTAAGATGGGAGGAATGGGTGCATCCTGATTTTAAGAGCAGTTTTGTTTTCATTGGTGTATTTTCACATGGTGTCATTATTTTCTCTCAGGCGTATCGGCCTATTTTTTTTATTTTTTACTGAGGCAGGATGCTTATATGACACTGATTTTAAGTTGTGGGGGGAAACATTTTAATTCTAGCTGGCTTGCCCTTGGAGGTTTTTGTTCCGACACTCACAGCTTTCCGATGTTTGTCTGTGTTCCAGTGATCTGGTGAACGGCCTCGTGTTGTTGATGAACAGTAACATCAGCAGTCCGGTCAACCTGGTGAGTTCCATACGACCCATTTTCTCTAACAGAGTCCGGTATAAATCTTTCTTTTTTTTTTTTTTTTCTTTTTTTTTTTTGGGGTTGTTTCTTTGTTTCTTTGTTTCTTTCTGGCTTACACAGTTTTAAGTCTAGTTAATGATGTGGTTACAGGGGAACCCGGAAGAACATACCATATTGGAGTTTGCCCGTCTCATCAAAAGTCTTGTTGGTAAGGAATGACCTTTTATCCATTTGCACTCTCATTTACTTAGAACGATAACAAAAAAAGAGAATGAACAGGAGAAAAATAGCTTTTAACAGCTTAAGAACCCACAAACAGACAACATAAAACAAACTAAAAAGATGAGGCAACCTCTTCCAAAAGTTTGAAAATTTCTTTAAAGACTGCTGTGGTTCCACAGCAAGAAATGTCTGGTCAGTGCTGAATTTCAAACCTGGATTTTTAGACGTTAATCTGCCCTTCCCCCCGACCGCAGGCGTCACATTGGCTTTGTTTTTCAGACCCTCAAGCAGGTTTTTCAAACGCTTGCTGAATAAATTGTGCGTAGTGGTCATGGAGGCAGTGCTTTTGTGTGGCGCACTGCCTAATTATACTGGCAGTCTGTTATTTGGTAGTGTAACAGCTCAAAAATGATTTGATTTTAAAACAAAAGAAGCAAGAGGGTGCACATCAGCTTTCCCCGCACATCTGCCAGAGCTGTTTGGACTCTGGAGAATCGCGCTGATATGTTTTGTCTCTGTGCACCTCCTTTTCCATGAACTCATCCCCATGTCTGCCAACGCCTGAACCCGCTCCCAGTGAGCCGAAGCCAGATCCAGTTCCTGTCCGAGGCCCAGGACGACCCTCAGAGGAGGAGACCCGACATCCGGAAAGCCAAGATGATGCTCGGCTGGGAGCCGGTGGTACGTTAGTTGAATGGCATTAAAGACCACACAACGGCACTGATACATCTTCCAATTTAGCGACAAACTTTGATCTGTCAGCCTCTCGTCGTGTATAGCGTTTATGTACCACATTAAGAATTGACAGGACAGAGCATGAAGCTCGGTTTAATGTGTTTGTCGAGTCACAGTTCCCTCCAATAAGTTGTTTCAGGTTACCTAACAATTCACATCAGCATTTCAAATGCATTGAATGCTATGACGCGCGTGGACGTGGTGGCAAAAAGCTCCTATTTTAACAGTCGTTTCGAGGCCTCAGGGGTTTAATTACACGACAGTGAGAGCAGAGCTTGGGTCAACAGTTTACCGGCCCTGAAGACATTATCTGGACTTACAGTGATGTGTCCACATCAACAGAAAAGAAAAGGCTGCTTTAGAACCAGGCTTTACGTCAAGCTAACAAACATCCGGCATGGCGAGCTGAATTAAACGCGTGGTGATTTGTGGCCGCTGGGAGCAGAGGTCACAGCTACAGCGGAAACGCTGATCCTTTTAGCTCGGAAGCGGTCGGGAAAACAGCTTTGTCAGATTGCCGTCTCAGAAGGTTAGCGAAAGTCGCCGAGGCGGCCCCTTAGACGCGTTCAGGTGCATGTCAGAGGGCGGCCTCACCGGGGTCGGGCTTAACGGCTGTTGCTTTGCGCCTTGTATTACCAGGTGCCCCTGGAGGAAGGCCTGAACAAAACCATTCAGTACTTCAGCCGAGAGCTGGAGCACCAGGCCAACAACCAGTACATCCCCAAACCTAAAGCCGCCCGCATGAAGAAGGGGAGACCCAGACACAACTGAGGCCGCGCCCTCCCGTCACGCTCTGCTCCAGAACAGAGGGATGAAGACTCCATGAAGACTGCCCTGCTGAGTGGTGCACCTTTAGGAACAGCGTATGTTTGCCCCTTCAGAAAGCAGAGACGGTGTCCTCCTTGAACTCTTTTTATTTTCTTTTTTTTGAGAGCTTGTGTTGCCTCATGGTGGAGCCACAGCTGGACTTCAGGACCTGAATTGCTGCGAGTCAAAGAGGCACCGAACTGCAGAAAAGACAGTCCTGAAATCCAGGACAACATTTTTGGGAGTTTTGTGCTTTTGCCATCTCAGTTCACCTGCCGATGAGAACCCTTCAGACGGCTCCGTCTGCCCTGCCATGACTTGTCTTTATTTAATCCCTTTCATGGTGTTTTTGTGTTCCGAGATGAACTGGCCGACTGTACCCCGCCGGACGCTTTGTGTCCTGAGCAGCGGCATACCAGCACCCTGTGGGCTGCCCACGCAGCGCCTCACAGAACTGGAGAAAATCTTCTCTAAAGACTGTTACAGCCTCATCGTATCCTTTTTTTATTTTCTCCCCAATGCATTGTGTTGGTGAAACCTCATGTCAGGATGCGTGTGTCATTATTTTGATGTGAAAAGGCTATTTTAATAAAATATTTCCAGTAGCTTTTGGTGTGATGCTGTTCTGATGAGAGCACTTCCAAGCACCAGGAGACGGAGACGGCCCAGAACCACTTCTTTATTTACAGTTAGAGAAAGAGCCTGAACTCAAGGCTAATGATAAATGAGAAAGCTTAAGGGGGGTAAAAGAAAGTTTCAAAAGGCAGAGCTGGATGTGGTTTGTGCTGATTGCTGTAATCATCAAGGCACATGAGTAAGATCACTTGTGGACTGCAAAACTGATAGAAAACAATCAAACCTTGATTTTGTAACACAGCGTTAAGCCTCTACTGAGAGGTGAAAACGCAGCCCTGTGTGTGTGTGTGTGTGTGGTGTTAATAGTAGTCGTAATTGACATTTGCTCCGTGTCTGTAAGAAGACGGGTCCCGCGGGCCCACGGGGGAGTTCTCGTCGTAGTGATGCTGACGCCCTTGGTCACTGGAGCGCGCGTGGTCCATCCAGTACGACAGGTCAGCCTCCAGCCTCTGGAGGGGGGTGGGATGGGGTGGGGGGGGAGATTTGACACATTTTGAGACTAATTTGACACACGTTGAGACTAATAGACAATCCAGCAGCTGATAAGACGTCCCCTAAGACAGTCGGCATACACGGCCACGGCAAACAGACAAAACACTGAAAAGGCCAATGCTTTGACAGCTTTGGCCTTTTAAGGAAGACGCAACAAATGGCACATGCTGAGGGTGTCATGTACGAGGTTGTTGGAGAAATACGGCTATAGTAGGCTGAAGCGCACGCTGTCAGAAACGGTGGAAGGAAGGGGTCATTTGGCACCCCCCCCCCCCCCCACCCCCCCACCCCTCTGCTCTTATCTTCTCCCTCAGTTCCTTACTGTCCCCGCTGAATTCATAAAAGCCAGTGACCTGAAAGAAGACTGGATCTGGCTATGTAAGAGGGTCTCTGTGCGAGAGAGGAAATTCATGTTTTCGTGTATTCATCTTCACACTGTATTTATTCATTCACCCAAATAACTACTCTTTGGGGATAAGTGCACCTTTTGAAAATCATCATTTAGATGTCAGACCCGGACTGATGTCTGAACTGCATGTTTTTGTACAGTTTGAATGAATTATCGCTCGCTGTCAATGCTTTTTTTTCTTCTTTTGCCTCTGTTTCTTTTCTGTTTATGAAGGGATTTTTTTGTCCTTTTTCTAAATTTGCTGTCGTTTAAGTTGGCAACCTTTTGTGCCGCTTCACGTTTCAGACGTCTGAATTCTGTTCTGAAATTTTGCTATGAGCCCTGAAACGAAAAAGGAGGGAACATGCGGATCTCACCTGCTCATCGAAGCCCATGTGCATGAACTGCATAATCCACTGCTGGACATCTGGTCTGCTGCGGTCCCAGATGTTCCTCTTGGTCCTGCTCAGCTTGGCGAGGAATTCCTGGGCCTTGGAGGAAGGAACAGAGATGGAGGTATCTGATGGGGGATCACCCGCCACAGCCGCCGCCACTGGATGGAAGAAATTAGCCAATGCAAAAGGTTATGAAGAGCAACAGTCCAGAGCTTGACTTTGTTTGCGATGTTTGCGAGTTGTTTACCATCTCTTTTCTTAAAGATCTTGTGTATCTGGCTGCCACCGGACACATCTGTGAAGGAGAGAGAGCAGAGGCGTGACAGCTGCAGGGCAGAAGATGCTTAGAGGAAAGCTAAGTTTGACTTTAGATAGTCAGATTTCAGTACCACTGAGGCAGCCATCAGATATTGAAAGTTTAGCTAAAGAGATCTAGAATTTATGGGTATCTATTTTTTTTTCTGAAAAGTCTGTAGACATCTTAAGTTTTAAAACAAATTCTGCTAAAGGTGTTTTATTTAAATGACAAATATAAGATGTTTTGTGGTAGAACTACAGAAACGAAATTAAGAGGTTCATCAAGGTGAATGGTCAAACATTTTGGACTGCGAGGGGGATTCAGTAATCAACATGTATTCATCATTATGTGTTAAGGAATTATTTATTTATTATCATTAACATTCTTAATAGCAATATGGAATCCTTTCACCTGCTTTCCTCAGTGTTTTGATGATGGAAAAAAAGCCAAATCTCTTCCACAAACGTACTGTTTTTTTTTAACATACATTTTAAAATTGCCATCGATAAAGTTAATTCATCAGAACTTGAGACGATATTGAAATATGATATCTATTATAATCCCGATTGCTTTGTGGATACATTTCTGATGGTTGCGTTTCCGAAAGCTGGTCTCACGGATGTGCTTTTCTTCTGGGTTTGATCATATATGCAAAGGTTAATTCAGAGGATTAAGCATGGTCAGAAGAGAAACTGCCAGCTCACGTCCAAGGAATCCAGCTTCTGGGCAGTTTGCATATAAACATGCCTCACATTTGCTTCTTCCTTGCGGCTGACTCTGGAGGAGTGGTTGTTGCATAAAGTGCTCAAACTACATATCTTTAACTTCACTGTACTAACACAGTCTAGTCAGATGACCTTTTATGTTTTTAACTTTTAATGACTCAGAGCCTTGTTCTCTCAAACTATCTCTAGCCAACATTCGCATCGGCCTTAAGTGGGTTACATTCACCCATGTGTTTGCCCTGGTTTGAGTTATAAAACAAAAGTGTAGCACAGAACAGCAAACACAGTAGAATTACTCAGAAACAGAGGTGACATCTGAGTCCTGTGCGGTTAGACATGAACGTGTACAGTTGGAGAAATTGCCTTATCTTATTTATTTATTTATTTATTTTGCCTGCAGATGAAGGAACAGCTCATTTTATGCATAATTATCCTCATTACTCACAAAATCTATGGTATGAGTCATTCTTTCCAGTTTTTCTAAGAAGCTTTTGTGAGTAGGACACAATGACGCCTTTGATATTAGTAATGGCGCATTAATCAGCATCCCTGTAATGAATACTACTTAGACCAACATTGTTACAGTCGTAATACAAATGTACTTTTTTTTTTAAGGGGGATTCAATTAGAATGTGTATATTAGAATCATCAGTGATGAGAAAAAGAAAGAGCCCCAAGTTTCAATGATCTGTTGGAACATTAAAGAAAATAGAGGTGGCCGCACTGGCCTTGAATTTGGAAAGTACAACAACACATGATTAACAACTTTTGTCATAAATCATGTCATATTACAAAAACGGGGCTATGTTACTGAACAGATGTGTGAAAGCCCATGTAACCCCCCCCCCTCCCCCACTGCCTCTATAGGCATTAAGAAGGAAAGGTTAATCAATCTCTGACTAATCCTCTGCCAGTGTGAACACGTCTCTAAAAGCAGAGGTTTTGTCGGTTTGCTCGTCTGCAGCACTTCGGAGTGTTTTAACGTGATGCCGAAGTGGGAAGACATCCGCAGTGATCTCAGAGAGGTGATTGTTCCAACCCATTAATCAAGAAGAGGTTATGAGGTCGTTTCTGAACAACTGCAGTCCATTATTCAACATAGAGATAAATGAAAAATGAACAGCTGTCAATCCTTCTATTAGAGGAAATTCTAGTAAGCCAGCCAAAGGTCAGACTCTAGAATGCTCAGAGAAACGGAAAGAGTACATGAGAGTACATTTAGAGGGAGGGTGAGCAAGTGTGACTTTCTCTGAAGGATTGGGGGAGAAGGCAGCTGCTCTCTCATCAGCTTTCAAGTCTCGGTTGATCACAAACTCCTCTGTGTGTCAAAATAAGGAGTCGGACATAAATCCATCTGTATGACAGCTTAATAGAGTTCACACTGGATCGTTTTAACTGCATATCTAAGGCGGGAATGGCTGGAAGTCCGAGTGCATACCTGAAATGCTGTATGTGGACCCTAAGTTCAGAGTTAGTTCTAATATCACTTTCCTCACACATTGTTCAGAGATTCAAAAGACTTTATTCACTCACCGATTCTCCACTTAACACCGTCGTTAAACGAATAATGAAGCCGTGCAATACTAACAACTAATCCCGTTCATCTGCGATCAGATTTGATCAATTAATTGTGCTCTGATACATACAACTTTTGAATTCAAAGAAATTGTTTGCGCATCGTAGGTTAAAGCTCACTTAAATCATCCTTATGCGTCCATTAAAAATGCTCCTCTCTTGAAAAGCAGGGTCGCCAATTGGCTCAAACTGGAATATTGCAATTACTGTTAGCTTTATTGACGTGGCATTTTCTTTGAAAGGTTTATTGACTGGCATTCAAAGAAGAATGGAGAAGGAGTACAGCTTGTGCAAGGTACATTTATCTTGTATCTGACATATAGAAAATGCAACAACAAAAAAAAAAAGACATGCTCATAGTGCAAAGCAAAATATGGTAAGAGACAACCAAGAGTTTGATTTAAGATTATTGAGATGATCAGTGTTTTTCTATCAGAACTATAGCATAGAAACACCCCCAGACTTTGAAGTTGGAAGACTTAAGTGGCTGTACTTTGTTGCCTTTACAGGTTCTAGAAGGACTGGACTTGCTTTTAGAGGGGCCAACGTTACCTGAGACCTTATGTTTATTCAAACTCCTCCCAAATTTTTGCCAAATTGAGCTAAAAGGAATACAGGCCTATTCTAAAATAGACTGCAAGGACCAAGAGTAACAATGAGGACAACATTATTGGAAAGGATCTTAGTTTAAGCACCTCACAGAGAAGCAGCATTGCTTTCGTTGACTGTTTAAAACAGAGTTAGAATCTAGAATGCTCTATTTAAAACAGTCAACAAATAAAAAGGAGCTCCTGAAATTTGGCTTTAGGGTAGAGTAAGACAGGGTTTCATCTGCATTTATTCCTCCGTTAACCCCCTGCAGAGATGGCAGACGCATCATGCTGTCAGCATTGTCTAACGGCTGAATCTGATCTAAAGGATACTGAATGAAAAAACATTTGCACGGCAACTATTTCGCTTTGTAACTTTGTATTACATAAACACTGGTCCCGAAGTACAACTGTACAATATTGTACTGAAGCAGACAGCGTCAGGCTGGAGGCATCAAGCGCGGGCGTACAGTCTGGGGAACCTCTGAGGACGAGTTTAACCTCCTTCTTCCTCCCAGGAAACACCACACTGCGTCACTGTCAACACCCACTGTGTGTGAATCACTAAGAATGTGTTTGCATGTGCGTGAGTCTAGGTCTGTGCTCTCTAAGTTCAAAGTAAAGGATCCTGGCAGAGGGGGGAAATAGATGAATAAGCATCTGTCACATCAACGGCATCCTCCAACAACAGCAGAGTAGACCGCTGTCAGTTACAGCAGCACCATCTCTGAATGAATGGTAAAAAAGGTGTTTTTTCAGAAGTGAGTCTACCATAAGACAGAGAAAATACAGGAAATGTCAGCTCTGAGAAGAAGCTGTTATGTTCTGTCTCATCCAGTTTTTTTTTTTCATTTCCATTTGCGCTTTAATTGGCTTGACTTCCTTTAAAGCAGCATGTGCACAAAAAGTGTGAAATATCTGTGTGGTATGTGCATTCTAACCTCGCATTCCTCAGTCTTCCACAAATACCAGCTCATGAGTAGGAAAAGGCTTTTGCCCAATGTGTCTTTTTTGCTTCCTGCTTCATTTGATTAGTAACTGTGTGTGTATGTGTGTGTGTGTGTGTGTGTGTGTGTGTCTGTGCCAGCTGAGGAACGCCGATCAGTCTGACAGCAGCAATCTGAATCTCGGTGCTCTGTGCAGCAGCATAGGCTGGTATGGTGCTGATTGAAATCCTATATTTTATGTGATATCATCAGAGAGATTTTTTTCTGAAAGCAAAATGCATTTAACCATGACGAGCTGAAATGGCCATTAAATTGTGTGCCAGTACAGCTTTACAGGCCATTAATGAGTCCACATTCTCTGAGCTTCTGCATATTAACATTCAACAAAATCTGTGTTTGACAAAGAAACAACAATGACAGAAAATCAGCATTCCTGAAACACACATACGCTTCATCCCCCCTTTTCTCCATTTGTGTTTTGTAAGAATAACTCTCTTTCTGACTTGGCAAAATTTGCCTGCAAACTGTGTTAGGTATCCATCTGGCACAGAGAGCCAGAAATAAACACTGGGTTAGATGCCAACGGACACACTAACAAATGGGGATTAATTAGACTTTCTCTGTGGGAGAAAAACAAAAAAATGAGTAGAGGAAAAGCCAAAAAAACAAACAAAAAGATCGTTCTTACCTCTGAGAACTGTCAGAATCAGCAGCACAGCCAGCCCCATTAACTTAAAACCGGGCTTCTGAGAGGCCATCTTGTATCCACCAAAGATTCCGCGAGGAACTTCTGAAATGCAAAACTGTACATCGGCTGCTCCACGACCAGAGGAAAAAGGTGGGCGGTATCCCAGACTTTCAGAGTGGAAATTGGCCTGTGGCAGTGGAATGTGTCTCACCTCCCTGAGTACAGAAGCAGGGCTGTAACTGGAAGCTTTTCTCCTCTGAAAACATTCGCTCCAGGTAATTTTCCATCTGTTCAAACGGCTCACAAGAAGCAGAGAGAACTGAGAAGTTCATCTGAATAAGTAAAAAGTCAGTAAATAACAAAGCATCAAATCTGAAGCAACTGTATGTTCACAGGCCAACACAGGGGATTGATTGAGTGTAATCCACTGTAAATCGACCTCATTTGTACATGTTTATGAATCTTTTTAATGAAGTTTACGGAAGCATTTTTTTTTCCTCTGCGCAGATGTTGGAAAATAGGCTGAACTGAGCCTGCTTTTAACCTCAGAAAACCTCACTGCGGTCACAAGATGGTGCGAGCGTTTGCAGGAGCTCCCCGCCAGCCCACCCTCTGCTCTTGCAAGATGACGGGGGAAAAAACTCCAGCATCCGCTCTGAAAGTAACAAAACAACATATGTTATTAATGCAACGAGCTGCTGCGCCTTGGCTGGAACCCACCCCGGAAGCTTAGTAAGATGGATTAGACCTTGATACAGTGGGTCTCTCCACAAATCCAGCTACCTGCAGGTAAATCCAATTGAAGTGAGAGAGAATTCACAGCTACACCAGGTTATCAGTGGGATTTTCCTGCTGTGGTCCGATGATGAATGGCCACATTACAGTTGGGACTCAAGCTGTTGAGTCGTGTTGGAACCGAATGGATAAAACCAAACAACTCGCTGTTTTTTTCGAGTGACTGTTTAAAGTTTAAAATGACTTTTCCTCACATAGTCGGGAAGGAATTTCATAAAGGGGATATTTTTTCGCCATTGGTGGGAAAAAACCACACCGTGATACCTCTCAGTCTGAAACCCCTTTTTTGACTTGGTCACATAGAAACTTTTAGGAACCAGAAGCTGAAAATGAGTGTCTTTACTAAAGGAATATTTTGAATACTTATTCATGTTTCAAAATCTTTTCAGTAAAAACTACACAGAACTTGATAAAAGCTGTTTGAGCCAATACAATATACACATATCTGATTGTTGGTTTAAAACCAGCAATGGCTTCAAAATCTCTTTTCCCATACTTTGAAAGCTTGCCTCATAAAATAACAATTTTTGTAAAGTTGAATCTGTTCATATCCAGATGTGATATGGCTGCAATGCAAACACAGTCAGGTGTTTTTTTGCTCATGGGAAATGGCATTCATGTCAGCGTAAAGCTGTTTTCAGCACTGCTCGTAAATATCAGAAAGCCACGTCAACATATTGAGCAAGTAAACAGGAGACTGTAGTTCACGCTAAAGATTTTAGTGTAATAGTTCTCGTCCTTGTTTCGTGGTCCCGGCGCACCTGCCTGCGCAAACGTGTAAATTCCAGTGCTCATTTATTGGATGGTGGGGCTTTTTGATCCGCCTTTCATGCTCTCCGGCAGACCCGGAGCCACATGTGATGTCCTGCTCTGATAAGAGTCGGCAAAGGTCTGAGTTGTTTGATGTGTCTTCCTGTGTCAGAAGCTGTTCATCAAAGCAGGCAGTGACCTGAGATTTAGTCGCTGCTGGACCTTGTTCAGACCGGGGCAATCCAATCACAGCCTGACATCTTTACGGTTAAGTATTCGCATTTGCCAAAAGGGGGGGGAAAAAACTATTCCCATTTACCTCTTGAATGAATCTCAGCCTCAGAAAAAAGGTGGGGGAAAAGGACTTTCTGTTGAGGTGTGCTGTTTGCACGCCTCCTGATGGATGGAGTTGATGCTACACCACCTTAATTTACTTCAGGAGTTAGGAGTAATCTAAGTAATGGCTGGGGCTCCTTTAAACTGATTTCATTTGTCAGTCAGGGAGGAAACAGGGAACTACTCAAGGTTTTCTATGCTCCTGTTAAAGGCTTTTAGCCCCAAGAGAATGTGTGAAGGACAGAATGGGTGTTCAGAATGTATGCGAAGGCAAAATTCTGATTTAAAAAGTGCCTAACCTTCTGTGACTGAATTCACCTAAGGCTGTGTTATTTCGCTTAATTGTTTAATATCTTAGGATGATGTTTATGCAATCTGACTGCGCGCCACAAATATAAATGGCTTAATCTGTATCTATATATTACTTGTTGAGTAGTTAAGTAGAGCTGAGTCTGTTCAAACCAGTCTGGAAGAGACACCATGGTTCCTGTTTAATCGCTGGGTTAGATTATTCCATGCATACCTGGACAAACACGGACCTAAAAATACGCATAAACATGTGAGTCTGACAGTAATCTAGAAAATACTAACTTCTCAACTGGATTGAAACGCAGATATCAAATCCCTACTGCGATCATCCGACAGCAGGAAAATTTGAGTTATGTCATCTGTACATGATTTTGTCTCATTTTGTGACAAGTATATCACAGCTTTAAGGTATTTTTTTTTAGATGGTGTCGAGCAAAAAACTGGGACTAAAAGTCACATGGAAAGGTTAGGTTAGCTTTTAACTATTTGCAGCACCAAAAATTGACATGTTTTGCTGTTTGCTGCTATTAAGATACGATTTACAAGAACCAATGATAACCTAAATTAAAAGTCTAGCCAACATATTCCAAAATGTCTGACTGGATCACTGGATATACGATTGCTTTAAATGGAAAAGAACTCTCTTTTTACTGGATTTGAACCTGCAGTGTTGTGAGTGTGTTTCTCCAGTGTCTCCACATTGGCTGTAGGGAGGGGAGGCCTAACAGTTGAGGCACTGGTACAAAAGACGGAGGGGGAACAGCAGAAGGTAAGATAATTTAGGTGAAGAAATTTGTGGAGATGAATTGTGCCGAGCCAGCAGCTGCGTTTGGTTTCACACATAAAAGAATTTAAAAAAAGCATTCCGCTGCGCACTTTGCTCGTTGAAAGAGAGAAAAGCTAAATTCTTTCTGAAGCCCCCTTAGTTTTTTCATATCAGATAATAAAAATCTTCACAATTCTTAGAAGCAGACTTCTATTGAGCGGAACCTTTCACTGAGTCACTGTCCGTGACTCATATTTCAAATGATTATGAAACCTGGTGTCTTTTTATTTCCGAGTACCACCCACAGGTTTTCTGAAGGTAAACTTTTAAAGCCGGTTTTGAAAGTCCGAGAAAGACACCGTGGAGCCACACAGGCACTAATGGCCATTCCTTCCCTCACAAAGCCTCCTCTCAATCACACAGGAGTCGGAAGCAAGGCAGAATGAATGAAGCTAAAAAGAGAGAACCAGGGTTTTCTAAACTTTTAACCCCCCCACCCCACCCCATCCCAATTGTTGTAATAGCAGGATTCAGCTGCCTATGCAGAATGTGCCCACATAGTTGGAAAACGAAATTGGAAACAGCAGGGCTTCCAGACGTGTGCAGAAGAGTGAATCCTGTTCAGGTTAGAAAATGCCCCTCAAAGCCCGTGCATCTCTACAGCATCGGAACTCCCGAGGAAGGTTGACGCAAATAGGAAATCCTCTTATGTATTCTGTGCTCATGTGTTTGCCTGGTGTCCCGGAAATGAGAGATCGGAACATCAAAGGATTAGAAAAATGCATTGCACTCTCCGGCGAAAAAACACAATTTCCTCCTGTTGCTCCTCCACTTTCGCCCTCCTTGTCGGTGCTTCCATCTTCTCCCTGCCTGTGCTCTTACTGGACTTGTCAGTCCGTGTGTTGTGACCCGAGGCAGACGCTTTGGCACTCAAACGTCCCACAGTCCCTCAAAGCACAAACAAACTCCCCCTCTCAAAAGAGAAATGCCAAAGTAAAAATCAAAATACGGCGAAAGCTCCTTTTTTTTTTTGGCCCCCCAGAAAAATGTGCATGCTTGAACTGAACTTCGGTTTTTAAGTGTCACTCAAAAGGTCACTTTTTGCAACAATCCCTCCTCTGCTGACTGACCCATTCTTGATCTCAGAGATCCAACCCTGAAAAAATACTTACACTTAACACAAGTGCAGTGATATTGTAGCAATCCTACAGAGGAAAAGGAGTTCTGGCAGCAAAAACACAAAAATCAAATATACTTCAAAAGTGGAACTGTTCAGTTTTATTATCTTTGCAAAAGTTCTTCTAATCTCTGTAGGAGAAATAAAACATTTAGGAAGTTTTTACTTATTAAGTTGTTTCTTATATGTCATATTTCCATGTTGGACCTACATATACACACATTATGGGGGAGAAAATGACTTTAATACGCCCCGTTGAGGCCGCTGACCTTTTCAGCAAACTGATCAATTCTACGTGAGGGAAAAGAAGAGTTTTCCTTCAATTTTGTCAACAGAAAAAGGCTCACGTAGAACGACAACATCAATATTCTTAACTGGTGTCCATGTAGAATTCTAGTTGTAAAAGCTTTTTGTAAACATGCCTGTTGCAAACATTAAGGAGGCCATTCCCCTAAACCCTCAATCCTCGCTGTTGTGCTGTTTGGTGGGAATTAACAAAAAGAAAAAAAGTTCATCGCGGCTTCAGCTTTCAGACAAATTGCCTCACATTATCAACGATTTTTCATCCGCCGCGTGTGTGATTTAGTCTTCATGAACACCTCCTGTTCGGTCATTTCAGCCCTTTGTCAGACTTTTCAATGAGCACAAACAATTTCATTAAGATGCCATCAAAAAACATTTCACGTGAAAAGAATTTCACATGTTCAGATCTATGTTGAAGAAGAACTGACTATTGTGAGCATAAGACTGTTGGCAGATAGCTGAGAAAGCTCTGACCCCCGATAAGGACACAGTAGATGTACCAGGAAGGATGTTTAACTTTTATCAACCAGACATAATGTTCAAAATTTATGTTGAAAAGAATCTACGCTATCTGTTCTCAAGGACAAAGAGCAGAGGCATTGTTTACCACCTTAAAAGAAAGAAAGGCAGGATCTGTAGGTATGGTGTTGCGTCAGAACTCACTGGGCAGCAGTTCCAGGGCCATTCATGCATTTTTCAGCACAACAATGCCAAAAAACCCAAGACTGCACACATTTCAAAAGCTAGCCGCGCTGAGCTGGAATTTATGCAGCCCTGACTTGTTTCCCATAGAGAATGTGTGAAAAGAATTTTGAAAGGAAAGTGTAAAGACACTCTTATTCTGCCGCTCACCTTCTCA